CAGCAATCAACACCGTCCGGTAACAACAGACGACAGGTGTTTGAGGCGACGGCAGCTGGAAACGGGCGGGTATTACGGTCGGGCGTTATTACTGCAGCTGAGTATTACAAATGGTGTGGTACTCGAGCTGATAATGGTCCCACGCCGCCACAGAAGCCGCCAGATGAGATGTCAGGCCCACGCCCGGCGGTCGGTGCCACGCCCACACCCTGGTCAGTGGTCACTGGTCAGTGGCCACTGAGATGGTCGGTCACAGCAGCGCGCAACACCATCACAAAACACCTACCATCCACCCATACACATTACACACATTGCGAGATACAGACCACACTGATACACCTACCAACCACAGTGGAACCCCACCCACAGTGAGCAACCGCCCACATACCACACTGATACCTACACACACCAGTAACCAACCACAACAGAGCTGGACACCGCCCACAAATTGACCATTTACCCACCGACACGGTCGGTCACGGTCACACCAACACTGGACACAGCCCAAAAAACATCACACGTGCTTACAATGCGTCGAGACAACACTCTATTGGAGACCCATAACGACCGGTTCCACGACTAACCGGAATCGGTGTACAAATTTGAGGTAGAATTGAGAGTGAAAAGCGCGGTAACGAACCGCTGATATTTCCCCAGTAAACGGCCATTACAGGTGAGTCTTCAATCATCAGCAATGCGCCATAACTGTCACAGATAAAGTTGAACTTCCCGTGCTGTGAGCGGTTGATTCGCTCCACCGATGGACGTTGGTGGAGGTCCATTTCTCTCAGTGAAGCACTGGCTAGTGGAAATCTATGCATCTACCTACTCCGGTGGGGAGCAAGAGAAGCACTTCCACTTCCATCGGCGCACATTATACAAGTAATTACTTTGGAACAGTTTATTTAATCTAGGTATATCAAGACCCTCCCCCCCCCACACACACACACACCGATGAGCCTGTTCATGCAGCAGCAGACGTGACGCGCCAGACGTGACGTGGCCGAGCGTGCTGTAACAGACGTGACGTGCCACGTGCCGCGGCCAATGTGGCGCGTCAATAGCAGCACCGTTAGCGCCGCGCCGCGGAGGTCGGCCGGCATTGTCACTAGGTGACGGTCGGAGCTGCCAGCCGCGGTCGGCACCGCCCCATAGAGGATGTGAGGAGATGGCGACAGGAAACTCCACCCCGGTCCCAGAGGTCGAGCGATGACACCAATCAGAGGTCCTTAAACGTCAGCGGAGGTCGGTAAACGTCATCAATGATCGGTACACGTCACCGAACATAGTTGACGGAATGCACGTCAGCACTAGCAGACGGTTCATGAGGCGAGGAATAAGAAACATGACTGCAGTTATTGACAGGCCGCTTTTGTATCGAAGTTCCGTCCTGCCGAAACTACGGCCTAGTAGAGCGAACAGCAAGGGGAGAGACAAACCGGAACAATTAATATCCCAACAATTTCAACCTCATTATCTCAGCCTAAATTGGGGAAACATAATCCCAGACGACTGTTTCAGTGTCGTAATAATTTCAAGTGACGAATTATGCCGAGACAATACGCCGGAAGGTCAAGCACGCCATAATAGCATAAAACCAGGGCGGTGAGACAATGACAGAGTAAGTCACTCTACAGACTATCTCTCGCCAATTCGTACACATGACTCATGTCGAGTTCCAAGTTGTCCATACAGCATGACAGCACGTCTCTCCGTGGCCGTCAGGTACCCACAGCCGCCCAGGAGAAGAGGGAGAGAAAGAGAGAGAGAGAGAGAGAGAGAGAGAGAGAGAGAGAGAGAGAGAGAGAGAGAGAGAGAGAGAGAGAGAGAGAGAGAGAGAGAGAGAGAGAGAGAGAGAGAGAGGGAGAGAGAGAGGGAGAGAGAGGGAGAGAGAGGGAGAGAGAGGGAGAGAGTGAGAGAGGGTGCGTATGGCGCCTCTTCTCCGAACGTAACTACGTCAGCGGCCAGCGCTGACACCGGCTATCGAATGGTGACGTGGCTGCCACGACACCCCGTTGCCATGCCACGAAAGATGACCATTGACCAGCCATCTACCATGCACAACCACCGTGTCATTAGAAAACAGGCCTCACTGAAAGTGTGATAGTTGCCGTTAGCCTTTCCAGAGTAGCAGCATTGCGCGAACTGGCAACGAAAGCACTTGTACCGACCGGGTAAGCCGCTGGAATGGAGTGTTGCCGGGCGATAAAACTAAAAGCAAACAAGCGTTATGTGTACCGGCATACTAGATCATTTCTAGGCCATTCGTATCGATTCAACGAGTCTTCAATGCCGCAAATGAGGGAGCAAGGCCATTCGGTCCACTTATACCACCGTTGTCACGCCTTTTCGTGCACTCACAATAGCGACAATAGCATGATAGGATCAGCGACGTCCTGAATACACATCACTGTTGGACATTGCCCAATAAGGACATACTAGCGTCGCCAAATGCCATGGACGCTCCATTGAGTACTCACGACGGTACCGTGGGCACACAATGGGACCGGACCGTAGATTTTGCTCGACGGCTGACCAATGCCGGATCGTGGATTGACTTTTCAGGATAGCGGACGATGTCGTCTCTAATGGAGCTGAAACTTTACGATCGGATGACCGTTGGCCGTCACACGTGAGAAGGAAGACATTGGATTTGGTTCAGGTCTCAAGGGATATTCCGACACGCAATTCGCCAGCTATTACGCGAACAATATTAGCCGATACGGTGATACGTCAAATAACGTTTTAGTTATGAAATTTGTTTTATATGTAGCACGATTCTGCAATCTACAGCGTGTAGTCGATCCGTAGTCGGTCAGCCGTCCTGCGAAATCTGCGGTCAAATCCTAGCAGATTCTCTATGCTACTGCAGCTAGCACATAACACCAGGACTTTGCGTGAGCCCCAAACAGCTGTATCACTTCAACTTGCATCTTACTGATGGATAATGCTACGGCTTCAGATTCAGAGCGTCTGGAATAGTCGAAAGTCCTCCGAATACTAAACAAGCTATACTGCCCAAAAACACGTCCAGCAGACACAATAAGGGTAGCACGCCCACTTTATAGCTCTCGTTCCCAAGTCACGTTTCAGCTCGGTCTCAAATGGGCACTTAGTTGGAGCGCGATGCTCGAGAGCTCAGTCGATCTTAGAGAGGTTTCCGGTCGTTACTGGTCAGTCACATGCTGCTCTGTGAGAGTGATTAACTTAACTGAGGCCCAGCTATGATGAACCAGCTTCCAACTAACACTATCTTTGGTCCAACATACTCCTGTGTTCGCGTTGGGCGTTCACGATAACGTTCACACCATCAGCAACTTTAGCCCCGCTCGTTTCTGTCTAGCATGTTCATTAGAGGTGGTCTGTTCTGTTCTGTTCCACCTGTCCTCTGTTGGCGCGCTGTTCCGTTGAGCGTTCATTACCAGCTGTATGTTCTGTTCTATCCGTCCGCTGTTGGCGCCCCGTTTTGTTGAGCGTGCTCCGCTGTGAATGACCGCCGAGTGGAGCGTCATGGCCACATGTCTGTGAGGCCGTGTCCGGCGCATTGTCTCCAGTCGGCGACAACAGACTCACGGACGACGGTCCGTGATGCAGCGTAACACAGCGCCCCGTCGACGACAGACGACAGCCTCCGCACGGGGCGGCCACATGACGGCAGATGGGCCGGGCGTGACACCCGTGACGCCCGTGACAGACGCCGGCAGTCGGCAGATGTCTGCCGCCGGCCGCCGCCGGACCGTCCGTGGCACAATGGTCGGGCGGCAGGTGCCGGCCGCGATCTCCGTTAACCGGTTGGGCGCGCGGGCGGTGGGCCGGTCGGCGCCTCGGTCACCGGCCTCCGGTCGCCGCCGCTCCGACCGGCCCGACCAGTGGTCACGTGCAAGACGCACCGCGGCTCGGCGCAGCTCCAGGACATCCTCGCGGCGTCAGCGGTCACGCATGCCTGAGTTGAGGTGTTCGACCCAGGACAGGATTGGAAGGAGCGGCAGAGGCCGGTGACAGTCTGAATACAGCGGCGACAGTCGAGGAATTTAGCAACCAACAGTGACCACCGTATGCTGCAGTCCATGGCGTGGCGTAGGTGGTAGCCAACCGGGAAAGTGAACGCACGATTCACTGTGTAACGAGCCGAGTAATGCCTCGCCTAGTAGGAAAACGGTAAACGAAAGCCAGACAGGATGTTACCGGGCTTCTGGGGCCGAAATCGACTCATCAGATCGCGATCAGATCAAAGTGCATCAACACACACAACGATCAGTTGGAGAGTTTATGAATGAGCGAGCAAAGAAACGCTATCGTGTGGACCGGCCTTTCACGGGTAGGCCGTGTAGCCGTCCGATAATGGGATCACGTGTAACACATCCGTTTATGGTACCGGTGCGGATACAGCCGCGCGACAGCTGTAAAGTCGCGTGCATGCCCAGCGACCGGCACGAGCACTCTATAGCGTGAGCGTGAGCGTGGCTGAGCGCAGTGTCTCACACACGCTGATAGAGCGTCGCTACGGTGGGTAACCAAAGTCAGACATAGCTCCATGGGAGAATGTGAATGTGAGCCTACACCAGCCACGTTCCGACTTTGTCGCCATTACATCCGGGATTGTTAAGTACCGGATGGATTACACCAAATTACGTAATACGGTTGGTGCGAATGTCCAGTGTGCAAGCACGAAGGTGAGCAATGATGGGTGCATTAGGCAGCACTCAGTCTTCCTCAGGGTTTAGTTTTCCTACATTGGTACTGATCGCTATCAAATGCAACTCAAAAGTGCTCAAGGACTTCGCAGAATTGGGGTTTCGGCCTAGCCACTGTTACAGGCCAGCCGATCACACGGGAACCCGTGCTTAGTTTGTGATTCCCGTAGAACGATAGAAGTGTCATGAATACCAGACTCCATGTTCTCCAGCGCCTGCAATCGGTAGGTACTGTACAGAGATGTCTGCGATCTGTGTGTGCATCATGATTCAGTAATGGTTGATGTGAATTCGGTAGGTACTCACCCGTCCAGTCGCACGTCGGGCAGCGACCGGTTCAGCGAGATCATATCACTCGCCATCAGGTTGAACTGATTCTCCTTGAACTTTTCGTTCATCTCGTCCCGCTTGTCGCGCGGAATGTGCACTGGCTCGCCCATCTCGCCGGGCTGGCCCGGTTTTTCGGGCACTACGGCCGCCGGCTCCCAACGCACCAGCGCTGACCGGTCGTAGGCCAGGCTGTTGAGTGAGTGGGCCAGGGCCAGTGCCTCTCGCTTGCCACCGGGTCGTGACCCGTCCGCGGCGGCGGCGCCGTCTCTCTCGGCCCGCGCCGCCGACCGGCCCGACGGCGCCGAGCCGCTGTCCGCATAGTACATGAGCACTGCCACGTCCACCAGCAGCCAGACCAGCGAGGTGGCCAGCACGATCTTGCAGGTGTGATGTCGGAATTTGCGCAACATGGTGGCGAGTCGGACGGTGGCGGCGCGGAGGGACGCGTCACCGGCGATCGCGGCACACACCTGGCGGAGAGACCCGACCCGACCGGGAGCCGACCGCCGACTGGACGGCGGCAGCCGCAGTCAGCTGGCGCCGACCGCAGTCCGCTGGCGGCGCCGTCAGCTGGCCAGTCCACACAGCGCGGCCCCGACGTGCCTGCAATACATGGGAGAGAAGGGGCATGGAAAGGTGACGGTCAGGTGACAGTGACGGGTCGTACAGTGAGCGGCTACACGCCTTGAGCGGGCCGCAGTTTCACTTTCTCTTGAGTTACTAAAAACGACCACGACACGCAGATTTAGTGACACCATATCGGTGCTTACAGCACCGCAGCAGTGAAGGCTGCTTCGCATGCAAACCCTTTTGTTTGTTTGCGCTGTGACGTAGTTCAAAACACACAAGGAACTCATATGCGGCGGAAACGAGCAGAGGGAATTAAAGGGGGGGGGGGGCAAGATGCCAGACCAGGAATTTATCCGTTTAGATGGTCTTGATTGACAGGATGATGGATGATTAGCCATATTGACCAGACCACTGGATGTCTAATTCTATGGAGATGGACCCAAGCATCCAAAAATGATCAGGATATCATATAACACCAAAATGAAGCCAATTCCGCGCGCTATCAGATGAAATATACCGAGCAGAGCACCCTCTTCGGCTTTGCCGCCGGCCGCCGGTGTCTGCCACATAGTCTGTCCCATTCGCTGGCTGCAGAAGCTTTTATTATTCATTGACCAACAATCACAGACTTTTCCTGCCAGGACTACTGACAATAATATGTACAAATACTGAGTGGGCAACACAATGTTTGAAGGGTAACATGAAATGGGGTGAAAGGTGTGAATCCTCAAGGTGATGGGAGGTGATGTTGTTTGTGTTATATGAACAGCATTTAAATTTGAATTAGCCCACAACTTGGATTTGAGAATTAAGAATCTTTGGACTGGATGCATAGGCGTCGCCAGAGATTTTCGGTTGGGGGGGGGGGGGGCAAAATCAACTGTTGTGTTAAAACTTGCCTTTCCCCAGTCTTTACTCACTCGTTTTACATATCATTCGACGCGCAATGGTGCGAGGAATCAAATGGTGACAAAGGTTTCCTTCTAGCTATGACATGTAATTTTTTATAGAAAAATTCGAAATTTTGAAATTTCATGACAAAAAACGACTGGTAGAATTATATAATAGTGGCTGCGATTGCCGACGCACTGCAGAGGGCCCCTGTGCAGACGCTCGACGCTCATGATCATTACCCAGAAAAAGGTGAAAAATGGTCCATTTTATCGGATCACCCTGCTAAAGCCTACATTCACGCATGCATGCAGAGGTTTTGCGTGAAATGCATAGGGCTTATCCCAGCCGCCGATCGTAGCTAAGTTGGGCATTCGGCGGAGAGTGAGTGTCGGAAGTGTGAATCGGAAGTAATTCATCTTTGCTCCAGTGAGAGGAAGTGTTTTGTTCACTCGAGTGTGAACAAAAGTTTCTCGTTTTTCGTGCGAAAGGAAGCGCTGCAAACACGAATAAAAACTGTTAAACGGAAACAAAAGTTACGCACGGCATAGCGGCAAGGGATCCCTTAGAAACAGGCTTGGGACTTCCAAGCCATTTCAGGCCACTCAGAGTCAGTGCTGACTCTCAGAAGCATGCTTAGGATCCCGGAGATCGGCGTGGGTCACCTCAAAAATGTACGTGTACGTGGTGCTTTATTTAGGGCTTTCCGAGCCCAAGGTGAGGCCCTCAGAAGCCAGTGTGGGCGGCGGGCGCTAGGAGACTAGGCCCAGGGTGGTGGAACCCTAGGATAACAGTGTGAACGCTCGGGGATTGTGTCGAATCCCTAAGGACCCTACGTAGGGACATAATAAACATGTGTTGCGGACCTCAGAGGGACACGTGAGCTGTGACCCCTCAGATGCCGGCTTGGGGTTAGCAAACTGCAGGGCTGCGGAGTCGATGGATTTTCGGCGACTCCGACTCCGACTCCGACTCCGGCTTTCAAAAACCAGCTCCGACTCCGACTCCGACTCCGGGCAGAATTGTCGACTCCGACCGACTCCAACTCCCGACTCCGACTCCACAGACCTAGCAGGGCTGCGGAGTCGACAGATTTTCGGTGACTCCGACTCCGACTCCGGCTCGGGTTTCTAAAATCGACTCCGACTCCGACTCCGACTCTGGTCACAACTGTCGACTCCGACCGACTCCGACTCCGACTCCGACTCCGCAGCCCTGTAGCAAAGTCTGTCGCCTCAAAAGTTTGGCTGAACTATCAGAGGACAGTTAAGGTTCTCAGAAATGTTCGAAGGCTCAAAGATCCCTGTATGGGCCCTCAGAGAACATGGACATCAGTGGGACTTTCAGAGGCCGGTTTGGGCCCTCTGAAAGCTTCTTTAGGGCTCAGTGGAGCTCCTTAGGAGCCTTTGTTTAAAGCAAGCTCATGAGCCCTGCGACACTTGTACGGTACTTGAGCCTGTCGCAGACATTTGACGAGAGTTGAGAAAGGCTGCGAAGATTTCGTTTCACGCTTTAAACGAAAATTGTGTCAGCACTCCAAAACTTATGAAAATCAGCTGTAAAATGCAATAAAGAACGAACTAGGAACATGGATTGAATCACAGCATTGACATTTCCGAGTCTGGACTCGGAGTCTTGAAGATTTTGGCGACTGCGAGTCAGATTCTGGTTTGAACTGCACGCTCCAACCGAGTCTGACCTCACAGGCATTCTCAGAAAGGTACCCCCATTTTTTCCCGACTCCAAAATCTCATCGGATCTGTATCGATCTCAGGGGGTGCCCGGTCCGAGGTTGGGGGGGCAAGCTGCCCCGCTTGCCCCCCCGTGGCGACGCTAATGACTGGATGACCTGCATTCTGACTGCAAGGTATGGTAATTTCAGTGGGATCTTCTTGCTGGTGCAGAGACACTAAGAAGGTGCATGTTGCAGTGCAGATTTTCAGTGTCACTTTCATGGAGCAGATTTCAAGTGAAGTGGTGTGGGCCTTGGTATGGTGAGGTGATAACTGAACTACTATGCGGGCGCATTGTTGTCAAAGAGAATAAATGACATTCAGCTGTGTTCACCGGGGATTATTAATCATTTGTTGCATTTTACACATCAAAAGTGCAAACATCTAAATTTGATGACGGAAAAGTTTAGATCTTGTTTGATACAGACTGCACTCATGCAGATTTCCAATCTGCTTGTTATGTCTGGCACAAATTTGTCATCCTAGCTTATGCTGCTCATCAACTTTTGCCATGCTCAACAGTCAACAGCCCAGCCTGAGCCTGGCCCCTGGGCCATGTTTCACTGATGATAGCAGCACGCTGCTATTACACGTGTCAAATTGGGTTTCCATGGAGACGTCAACAAGCCTATTCCTCCGCTCCAACACTACCAGAAGTGTGACGTCAGCTCGCAAAATGGAATAGCAGCGTGCTGCTATCACCGGTGAAACAGGGTCCTGGCCTAGGGCCTAGTTTTCTAACTCATAATGGTGTAAATGGGAACAAATGCTTGCATTAACAACCCGAAAGTCACTCAGGTTTGTAAGAAAAGGCCCTGTAATTTTATGTCCAATTTCCACAGAGAAATAACAGTGGAATAAATAGCAATACTGCTAACAAATTGAAATTAGATGAAATCGAAATCAAAATCAAGCACCCAGCCTGGATGGAGTGCAACCAAAAGCCAGACATCGTAATAAGATTATACAAGTACCCTTGCATCGTTAGATAACTAGTCTTGTTAATTCACAGTTACTTTCACCATATTTGGAGGCTGAAGCAAAATATTTTATTTTTATGCTTTACCAACCTATCTTGATCTCGTTTTTTCCAGCGCGCTCCTGCAGCATAAAAAGCACGGTGCACCATTTTTGTCTAGCTTGCGTCAATTTCAAGGATTCGGTTATGCTGACACTAATTTACTGCATTCTTCTTCGATTCATTCCAGCTGCGTATTTACAAATTGCAACCGAGCTCCGCCGTGGGGTAAGGTGGGCAGGGGTTTTCGCACTACGGCTGCGGTTGAACTACCGTCTGTGGTAGAAACTTCAGGGCGATGGCGCGTTTCATACGAAATGTGGCGCAATGTTTGTTTGCTTCTGAACTTTTACTGTTATTGCTGTGATTCTTGAAGTGGGAGTGTTTCAATAACAATTTGTGGATTATTTGAGTTTCTTTATTATAAACATAGAATAGTATTATGAAACATTGTGTGGAAACTGCAAATACTGATATGATCAATTACTTTGTTTGGGAATTGATACACATTTTGTAGAGATTTGTCTGACAAATGGTGTAACGGGTGTGACAAACCTCAAGCATATCATGATCTGAAGCTATTGCAACAAATCAAAATTGCTTTGTTGGAAAGACTGGAGCATGGTTCAAGATGATGTGTAAAAATTCAAGATTTGTGGGAAAGCTTGTGACTGTAGAACGGAAACAGTTCTATATGATGGCTCAATCAAACATGGAAATGGACGACAAAAGTAGAGTTTCAACATTCAGCATGTGAGAATAACTTCAGAAATTCACAATTCTTGAAGTATTGCATTCTTCTTATGTACAGTTATAGGTTTTGTTAGGGTATTTGAAATTCATTGTGTCAGTTGAGATATAGATGGATTGCGGACAAATTTTAGAATCATTGCCTGGAAGCTAGGTATAAGGTACTTGTTCGGTAGAAAGGTATTGATGAATGCCATGAGAAGGTATTTTATGATTTATATATGGTGGTTGTTGTGCCTACAAAAATGCAAGCTTACTAGCAACTAGTTTCTGAATCAAATCGAAAGTATTTGCCATGAATGTAAATATGTACCTGCAAAGTATGTCAATAAATTTGTGTGATGTTGGCCAGAGAGCTTTATCATCTGGGCATTTATGTCGCTTCTTGCATTAGGTGTTAAGCATGGTACCTAATAACGGATGAACTTTGTGCCAATATCTTCAATGCACAATGTATGTAGCATGTCTACAACCCTCACTGATCCTAGCTATAGGCATTTGGCACCAGCAAGACCAAGGGCATGAACTTCACAGTTGCTCAACCTTTTGTCATGTACCACCAGTCACTTTTTTACTTAGGTGCACATAGCAGTGCACACAACAATGTGCAGAGGGCCTACACAAAAACAACATGATTAGTG